AGGAATCTTTTGCAGGTGTTTAGAGTTAATTAGTTGATTCAGATGATTAGGTTAAAAGCTTATTTAGAGAACCTTTTCATGATATGCTAATTTTTTGAGACAGGAATTTGGGGTTTTTAGGAGCTGTATGCCAAAATCATCAGTATTAAAACAATAAAAGACCTGAAATATTTCAGTTGGTGTGCAATGAATCTAAAATATATGAAAGTTTAATTTTTATCATTACATTATGAAAAATTATGAACTTTATCACAATATGCTAATTTTTTGAGAAGGACCTGTACATTCTCAGTATTTTTAAAGGGGACATATCATGCAAAATCCACTTTTTTAGCCCTTAAATGCATTTTGTTGTATATTTGGAGTGTTTATAAGTACAGAAAAGATGAAATTATTCTCTTCAGGTGATTCGCTTATATCTTTAGATTCTGTTTTGGTCATATTTTTCAACCTGTTCAGATTTTTCTGTTTTCTATGACGTTTTTTGAACTATAACGTCACCGTATTTGCAGCGGAACTGCCAAATAAGGACATTGACTACCGGCCCAACACTTCGAGCAATCCGCCATTATTATTTCTCGCTCCGATTTTGTAGTCCGAGCTCAATGATGCAGAAGTTACAAGAGGGCAAGTCAAAATGTTCGGTTTTTGGATGTAGCGACCTGAAGCACTTCAAGGATTCCCACTTCAACAACCTCCGCCAGTATAAAGAATGGTTTGCCGATCGACTTCGTCTGAATGAGAGGTAAATTACTTCTATCTTTGGAGACGACGAACAGAGCATTTCGATAAGCTGTAAATGTTGTTAATAAAAATAAAGTACTTTACTTTCTTAAAACACATGGTGGTCCTGGTTTAGCAGTACCTTTGTCTTTCTTTGTTTTTGTTTCGAAGTAACGTTACACGTCTGCAGGACTATTGTTCTTGAGTTTCATCAATGGTCATTTAGCTGCTCTGTTTTCTGATGCTTTCTAACGTATCATATTATCAGTACAGATTGTTTGTGGTAAGATTAGACCGTAGTCATTTATCTTGTCAGTGTGCTTGTTTTAACAAGAGAAATAGTCGACTTTCACTAATAACACAAAACAGTTAACTCGCATACCAATATATCCATAATGAAGAGGTTGTTCTGAAGGTTCGTCGTCGTCTTTATCAACTCGCTCGCTCTGGCTCGAATATGTAAGGCTTGATGGACAAGTCTTCTGTTGTTGACATTTTATTAACGTGTGAATAAAAATGTTCTTTGAAGGTATCGTATATAATCGTATATCTCTAATCAAACTACAATAATGGCCAAACGTGGGGAGTCGAACCGACCGTGAACTCATCGACCTGGAGAGCGGGCGGGGTATGACGCATCTCCTTTTTATTTAAAGGGGACGCTTTGAAACGGGTCCCTCAAAGACGTACATCAGAAAAGGGGTAGAAAAGGGGCTTGTGGAGCTATAATAATGAGGAATTCAGACCCAAGCATTGCAGTTATGTTTTATATAGACCACAACGGTGTGATTTATATGTAAAAATGAATGATTTAAAAGCATGATATGTACCCTTTAACACATCTATAGTTATGCGGTGGCACAGAGTGGCCTGTGACACACTGGCTGCGTGGTGTGTCCGTTTTTATTTCGGCTCCCATGTTAACAGAATAGAGCTTGCAGACCGCCTGAGTGACATGAGCATCTCAGGCGCGCTCGAGCCGAGCGGAAAACGCGTGCATGCTAGAAATAGAACCGACGCCTATTTTTCATGAGACACAACCGTTGGAAGCATTTCCAGGAAAATAGAATAGTAAAAGATGTTTATATGTTATTTTGTACACAAATGTTGATGGTTGAAAGTCTAGGTTGCCAAATTCTGATATAAATATAATTTAAAAATAAATAAATAAATAAATAAAAAGCAATTTTCAAATATTGTACCTGTCAATACAGAACAAAATATTCCGGACTCGAGGGCAAAAAACCTGATCGGGACCTCCCTGAAAACAGAAACACAGGCTCATCCGGGTTTTTGAAGTCAGCAGCGCTATACGCTTGCTAGGAACGTTTTTCTTTGGGGAAGTTTTGCATTTGGCGAGCTAATAAATTATTACAACTCAGTCGAATCAATATTTTGTGAAGTTATTTAATTATGCCAGCCAGTATCATTGACCCGCTCTCTCTTGTTTAATACAAACGCAGTTGCCACCATTTTCCAACTATTGTTTTGTACACTGTTTGAATTATGTGGTGAAATACTGTGTAATACGTGGTATGACTGTACACTGCATCTCTTAAATATCCATCTAGTTTGAACTTGCTGCAACTGGGGCCTCATGTATAAACGTTGCGTACGCACAAAATGGCCATAAAAATATGCGTACGCATTTTTCCACGCGCATATCGGGATTTATAAAAAATAAACTTTGCGTAAATAAGTGCGCACCGTAAGGATGCTCTTGACCATGCGTACGCACTCTTTTAGAAGAGTATGGGTTTTGGCGACACCGATGGTGAGCTGGAGTTAAATGTCTTTTTGCTCACTATTAGACAGAGAATCTAAAGAAAATTATATATCTACAAAAAGATAATACAAATATAATTTCACAAACCTATCATCACTTGAAGCAAACATCCATCCCTTCATAAATGACAGCGCCAGCACACGCATTGGGCCGTTTAGTGAAACTGACGCACATATAGCCTATAATCTAACGGCAGATGGAGAAAAACCGTAAATCTTCATTATGAGTCCAAATCATAAATACAGTCCATATTCACAATAACAGTTTAAATAAATAAGAGAATGGTTTAAACTATGTTTTACTTCTGATATAAACATTTACATTAAATATGCCATTCTCATTTATGGAGTTAAACACTTAAACTACATGAAATCATTACTGAGAAGTTACAATATATATATATATATATATATATAGGCTATATTCAATAAATAGAAATAGACCTATTTGTTGTGGATGCATTGCTTTTGAACACTTTTCTTCTGGCATGCTGTGTTTTAATGTTTTAACTAGAGATAATTGCTAATCATGATAATGGCAGATTGTCTGAGAAAAATTTTTCGTGCAATGCACAACCATGTCTATCTGTTTCCATTAAAATATAAATCAATTAAAATACTATTTGGCCAGTGGAAAAGATTGAGAAAAACTTTCTCTGAAATGTATTTAACACTATTTGATTTATTCATTCAAAAACAAGGCAAGGATATAGGCTACAAAAAAAAATCTTTGTAATAATGTGACGGCACATCCACATTTCATATTTTCCTAACGTCTTGTACTGTTAAACTTGGTATCACGTAGATTAATAATCATATGCGAATGATATGCAGATGAGGATATGCATATTTAAACTAGGCGTTGTAATCTCCATATATGGTTATTTCGGGGAGGAGATGCACGTGTGCATAATAAAAGTGAATTCTGCGCAGGTTCTAGCGTACGAACGGTTTTATAAATCTGATAACTTTTGTGCGTACGCAAATTCTGCCTTATGTGCGTACGCACACTTTAGGGATGAAATCTACGCAAATTTTTATACATGAGGCCCCTGCTCTCTCCACAGAAGCTTTGCATTTAAAGAGCTACTAAAATATTTTCAACACTTTGTGTCTAATTATTTACTTATGTGGAAAGTAGCCATGTAATAAGCGGGATAATGTACATCTAGTCGGTTGTTATATCAGCATAAACTCCTTCATGCTGATGAAAGAACCGATCAAGTCCTGATCACCCGGTCTGGGTTTATTCTGAGATAACAACTGGCTGGATATATATTATCCCTAACTTATCGCATAACTCAGAACTCTGCAGCCAGAATGAAAAATAACTATTTTTTGCTTAATACTAATGGAAATGAAAAATAATTAATTTATAATTCTTGCAAGGGAGAGACTTGGAGTTGTTTCCAAATCATTCTGAAAGTGATTGCAATGATATCCTCTCTGTGCCGTTATCATTATATAACTCTGCTAATCTTTTATATTCGTTAGCGCTATAGTTATCGTCCTTGGTGTAAACAGGCCTTTAGATAGATTTACACATAAAATGTAAATCTTACTGTAAATAGAATCTGAATATAAATAACAGAAGCTGAAATACTAACAAACATTTTGGTTTTTAATGAAAAAAATGATACTAAGATTATATAAAACTACTATATTTAAAACACACAACCAAGGTCATTTATGAACATTTTGGCACCCTCTTTCTCCTTGTAGATTAAACACACATAACTTAAATAGCAACATTGATTTGGTACTTTTTACTAACCATAGGCAATATATAAGTTGTCTCTTGATAAGCATTGAAATAATTCACAAATGTATGTATTTCGCAGATTGAGTATATACATCTAAATACGAGTAAATTTATTAATTTATTTTCAGTTTACATTCAATAAAGACTTATAGTTGATCATTTCTCTCTCTCTCCACCATTCGCTGCTTTACCACTGATCACAAAAAAACAAAACTCATGTTAAAATTATTTTAGTGTGCTTTTAAATGATCCCAATCTCAATGTGTCAGTGCCATTGTTTTGTCTCAAGAAGCACGTTTTGTCAAGACACGTTTCAAGACATTGATTATAAAAGCTAATGTTATTATACTGTCAAAAATGATTTCTTACTTTTTTTTTTTTTAATAATTTTATTTGTAGCAGTTTTTTGTACACAAAACATATCCAAATCTCAAAAATGTTTACAGAAAGATTGTTATACATAAAATAAAACTAAACAAACGCACCCACCGCCCCCCACCCTTCCACCCGCCCCCACACCAGACAGAGAGAATTAAAAAAAAAATTACACTTTGAATCAATTGAAAGAGGAAATAAGAAAAAAGTCATCCATATTACATACATGTCCAAAGATATTTCAATTCTTAGAAAGATACTTAAGGAAGGGACCCCAGATTTTATCAAATTTTTTAGAGGCATCAGCTTTAGAAAAACGAATCCTTTCGAGCTTAAGGGCAGCATGATTTCTTACTTGATTGACATGTGCATGTTCTCTGAGCGCGAGGTCCCAGAAGCGGCAGCCCACCTGATTCCCACACTGACCAACTGGAGGAGAGAAAAATAGGTAACAAGAAGACACACATTCTTACAAAAGTACACCAAGACATTTTTGAGCACCAATGACAGCTTGACCTTTTTCTCCAGGTGAGACATGATTGATGATGGTCTGGTGGTGCACTTTTAGTTTTAGATGGAAGGGGACCCTTACACACTTGTAAACATTAATCCAAGAAACACCTTTAAACTGTATTTATTTGTCAATTTGAACAGGGATTTATGTATACGTACATTTTAATTTGTTTAATAATACATTGATAGCTAATTTCTTCATTTTATTTTGAAAGTGGCACACCAAGTCCTCCATATCAGTTGCCTTAAGTAGACAGATTAACGTTATAGCCCGTTTTGTACAAAATCAGCGTTTTTTTGTTTGTTTGTTTGTTTGTTTCCACAGAACAAGCATCTGACACGCAGCAGTGTGACCATTAAAGACGAACTCGCTTACCTTGGACTACTATGGACTGTGTCATCTTTTTGGTTCATGCAATTTCATAAAACTAAATACAAACTTGTTACACTATCGATGTGTAATCCGTAAAAGTTATTGCTTGTCCCGTTGCTGTTTGCTATAGAAACAGTGGGCGTTTCGCGCTTTGAAGTCAAAATCGTCGTCGGTTGATGACGTGTTAACAGTGCGACAGAAAGTTCTGTTCTGTTTGTAGTTTTTTTTCCCCTCCCTCTTATCATTTTTCTTTAATAATTTTTCAGGCCTCCCCTGTTTGTACTAATAATTTAAATAAAATTGAAAAGCTGGGATTTTCTTGTGTTTAGTAGATGAAAAAAATAGTTAATTATATTTTTTTAATACCCAATTTATGTTTATTTTCATTGATACGGCCTTTTTTGTTTAGACGGTTATTGTTTGTTCTTTGGAGCCGTGCAGATATTTGTAATGTGGTTTTAGCATTATTTATTAACATAATATGTTACACTTCTCATTTTTATATGTAGCTATAAAGGGAACTGTTAAGGCCATATGTTTTCAGATAGTATTTGTATTGGCCTTTTGATAACAATCTTGTTGTAGCATTAAGACGCATCCCAATCAGAAATAACTGTTTTATGTCTCTGAACTATAAACCTCGCTTTCATATTGTAATAGAAAGTCAGTCAATTATTTACAATTAACTATTCATTTCTCCATTCCACTTCTACAAAAGTGATCAAATTCTTTTAATATGTACATTAAAGTCCATTTTTATAATGATATTAAATGAATATGAATTCATGTTTATGTTCAGTGATCACATATAAAATGCTTTTTGTTCAAACATTCTAACTTTGTCCAACATTTCACAGGAGTTCAACATCATCATCACACCCATTGTGATAACCCAGATACAAAACAAATGTCAGAAAACACCAGCTTTATTAAAGAAGAGTAAGGTAAAGCAGTGAGTGAAGTACTTTATTTAGTATCATGACTATATAGTCTCTCTCTTACTGTATGGCTTTGTTAATATTCTGTGCAAAAAAGTACAAGGTTTTGATATATATTTCATATACGTCAATTTAAGAACCTTTGGTAGAAACTTAACATAAAGGTTGCAGTGCTCTGTTTTACAGCTCATTAGTAAATATAGATGATGCTGAAGAGGCATGTTTATTTCTGTGGTGGCTCAAGCGGCGGGACAGGAGCCCACATCGACCGCTCCGCTGACCAGCGCCGCAGCACTGAAGCTCACTGGAGACTCGTTCACAGACACACTCCTCATGCAGCCGGTGTAGCCTCTCCGGCTGAGGAGACTGGGAGACAGCATGGAGGCTGGACAAGACAAAAAAGGGCAAGACCATTTGAATAACATTACCATGGGAATGGACACGCTTACAGTAGCAATTGAAAGAAACAGCCTAAACTCAGATTATGTTCAGGACTTATTTGACAGTTCTAGCTCTAAAATCTTATTGGATGAGCTAAATTTGACCCACTTTATATTCTTGAGACAAAACAATGACACTGACATATTTTAGGATTTACCAGTGCAAGTTTCTTTCAGTTCGAACAGCTCAAACTTGCGTTTTAGTCTGGGACTAGCTTAATCCTTATCTTTGAAACCAGGGGTATGTAACTTTTGGTCCACTAGCAGTAAAAAGGGTTAGGGTTACATTTTTTTTGGTTTTACTTTGGCTTTAAAGACACCTAATGTAATATGGGACCACCACTTTTAAAACTGTTTGCAAAAAGTAGCACCAAAAGCACTAGGACTCTTTAAAATGTGTGCATTTCAATTAGAAAAAAATAAAAATAAATAAATATATATTTATATATATATATATATATATAAATTTATATATATATATATATATATATATATTGCATTTTAAAGATAGCACAAATACACTTTAAAGTGAAATGTTGAAAATATAAAACTATCTGATGTTTCTCTGCAGTGTGAGCATTCAAAACAACTCAGAGATGCTCCGTTCACACACATGATAATAATATATATATATATATATATATACTTTGTATATGGTCAGTATATTAGACCCTTGCATTCGGTCTTAAAGTGACAGCAGCATTCCTGTCTGTGTCATTGGTGTTAATCAAAAGGCAAAAGATTTTAAATAAATGTATACAGGTTAAATAAACCTATTGTCCCTGAAAAACATAGTTTATTTATTTAGTAAATATCACATTGTAACTCTTGTCCTATTGCTTGAACAAATTTGCTTTGTTGTTCTTTTTTATATAACAAAAATAAAATGTATATGTATATATATAGATCATTATCATGAAATAAAATATTTTTTTTTCACCATTATCTTGAAATAAAATATCATGAAATCCTGAAAAAAGGGGTCCTGTCCATCCCGTCCCGTATTCCACCATGCCAAAGCTGGTCGTCCTATATCTACCCCAATGAAATGTGTATTTAATGAGTGGCCACTGTCTCTGAACATCATTAGTGGTGACTGACCTGGAGCTCCTCCAAGAAACACTGGAGCGTCGGACATCTGCGCTGGTTCCCTGACAGACGCCATGACGTGACTGACCTCTGAGTCCACGTCCAGCTGCACCGTGGGACCATCTCTGATCACTGGAAACAACATTAACATGTTTAATGATGGCCCACGCCTGCCGCCACAACGGCACAGTTATCTACAACTGAGCCAATCTATAATGAGTGGTTATTTCTCTGTACAAATTGAGTCCTAGCTGGAAAGAAAAAAAATATTAGTTCGTTTAAAATAGTTTAGTTATAAATGTTGATGATTTAAGGAAAGCACAAAGTACGAGACTGATGGAATGATACATTATAACCATATAAAGTTTATGGATTTTAAGTCTCTACCTGTGATCTTGTGCCAGCTTCCATCACAGATTTCTTCTGTTGGAGACACATATGTGGAGAACTCACGGATACCATTACTCACCACGACCACCACCTACAAAAACCCCATCAAATCAGTCACATGACTTCCTATCAAATATCTCTTGCAAGAAGGGATACACATGCACAAGGCCACAATCGAAAATTTGCATTGCAGTTGTATTGCATATGATCATCCTCTAATCTCGGCTTCTTTGGTTACTGTTCTTCGCTCAAACGGCTTTACAACATTTCCCAAAGAAACAATCTGAGATTTCTGTGAACAGTGCGATATTCAGTCAAATGTGCTCATATATGAAATTATTCTCTGTATATCAATACAAAAATGATTTTTTATAACAAGTTAATAATATTAATGAACTTTGGAGCAAATGTCCTTGTTGAGAGTTGGAAAAGGGTTTGGAGAAGATTTGGAGCATGTATACCCTCCCAGGAGCGGGCAACATTTTAACATATCTTTGCAAAATTCCTTTATCATTCTTTTAAAGCTATCCAAACGGACAGCCCTTCTATAGACTCCCTTGTGGAAAATAAGTGCACTTAATTGTATTAAATGTGCACTTACAGTGTGCAGTACTTCTAATCGGAAAAGTTTATTTAAAAAAAAAAATAAAATAAAAAACTTTACTTATAATATAATATTAAGGAAGCCCTGAAAAAAATCTGTAAAACAACAACAAAAAAAATCTAGCATTTCAAGATTAAAGTAGAAAAATTTTGAGATTAATGTCGAAATATTTCGAGATTAATAAAGTCGAAATATTTCGAGATTAAAGTTGAAATATTTCGAGATTAAAGTTGAAAAATTTCAAGATTAAAGTCGAAACATTTCGATAAAAGTAAAAAGCTACTATTTTGTGTTAATCCATGGCAGTTTGACTTCACAAGTGCATTTCTTTACACACACACACCCACGCGCGCGCGCTCTGAGCCAGTGGACGCACACTGGTATGAACGCACACACTTCTATGGTCGTAATACCTTGAAACATTTCGACTTTAATCTCGAAACATTTCGACTTTAATCTCAAAATGCTAGATTTTTTTTTTATGTTGCGGTTCAGGGCTTTTGTATAATATAATATAATAAACACGCTTACAATTAAAAAAAAGTGCACTTTGTAATAATGTCAAATAAAAAAGTAGTATGTACATTTTCAATTGTTTTTAAAGAAATACACTTAATTTGATGGACTGACTAACACTGATTTTAAATTTAGCGAAGTTAATAGATTTTAAATGTACTAGATTGCAACTTCATCATTAGAAATTGTAATAAATGACCTTCAAGTTTCAATATAAATTAAACTAAAGTACATTTTTGTTTACCATAAATGCTTGTAAGTACATTCATCTACTGATTCATCCACTTTAACCAGATTTCAAAGACAAAACTAGTATGAAACTGCATTTTTGAGATGTCCTTAAGTCCTACCTAAATGGGTTAAACAAGTACCCTTAAAGGAGAACTCCGGCGAACAATGAACCTTTGGTCTAATAAAACATCGGTACATAGTCAACCATTCTCTGAGATTTGTTTTCATGATAATCGAATGTAAAGAGTTTTATCTCTAAAAACTGTTTAGCGTATGCTAGTAATGGGGGCATTGACTAAGTAAAAAGAAATCGCTAGTTTATACCACTAACAAGGCTCAAAATAGCCCCACACTAACACACTAACATAATGAGGCTCCATACATACAAAACGAAGCATTGAGAACTTTTGTAAGTGTTCAGACCGTTTAATAAGAAGATACTTTATGAAGACAGTTCACTTCGCGTATACAGACAGGAGCCATCTTAAAAAATAGTCTCGATAAGTCAAACCACGAACGTCGTGCTGAGTGATCTGAACTCTATGAAGTTCAACGAACTTCTGAACTGTATGAACGGCGTTCGTGGTTTGACTTATCGAGACTATTTTTTAAGATGGCTGCTGCCTGTATACGCGAAGTGAACTGTCTTCATAAAGTATCTTCTTATTAAACGGTCTGTACACTTACAAAGTTCTCAAAGCTTCGTTTTGCATGTAGGGACCCTCATTATGTTACTGTGTTAGTGTGGGGCTATTTTGAGCCTTGTTAGTGGTATAAACTAGCGATTTCTTTTTACTTAGCTACTCAATGCCCCCATTACTAGCATTATACGCTAAACAGTTTTTAGAGATAAAACTCTTTACATTCGATTATCATGAAAACAAAACTCAGAGAACAATTGACTAGGTACCGATCTTTTATTACACCAAAGGTTCATTGTTCGCCGGAGTTCTCCTTTAATTTCAACTAACTGCATTTAATAAAACCATAGTACATTTTTGTGTAATTGTAAGAACCATGCAATGAAGTGTCCAAAAACATTACATTCATTTCAAAGTGAACTACATTCTTTTAAAGAGTATTATTTCTGTAAAAACCACTCTTATTAAATGCTAAAGTATACTGCTTTTCTCAAAGGCTTACAGTACATTACCCCCCAAAAAACTTGTCTTACAGCAACATTTCCTTGATTAGTCAGTAATCATTTGAAGGCTTGGCTCAGTGATAAATGAATGATATTTCAAGGACAGACATGTGGTCCCACAGCATGGGGTGTGTGTAATGAATCTCTGATGGATCTTCAGACCTGGCTTTGATAGATGTACAAGGTGAGATATTCCTTCTCTCCAGTGAAGACATGCAGTAGCACTCCTGACGCCACACGAGGACGCACCTCCATCACCAGCTTAAATCTTGAGCCAAGATCAAAGGAGTCATCTGCATGTCAGGAGAAGAACATCATTTATGTCAGCATATTATCATTGGATTCGATTCTAATGAAGGAGACATCTGATTCTCATGGCTCTGCATGCTGGAATCGTCCTCTTGAGCTTAGCAGAGTTATGTGCATGTGTAACCCCCTGAACACCACACCAGGGCGTGAAATTTCTCTACGCACATTCAACAGCTGAAACTGTTTCCCAAGACCTTGAGGTCTGCTTAAATCTTCCCCAACCTCAAGGGAACCAATCGGATCGCTGCAGCGTGGCAATTTTCACATTCCTCTTCTCTCGCAGGACCCTCTGTCTGTCTCTGGCTCTCACTTTTGTGTTGAGTTTTTTTTTGGTATTCTAGTGCAAGATCAGCATAAATTTCCAAGCTGGTTCATGTTTGGTTCTCACCATAATGTTTCTCACCAGCGAAACACACTAAGTCATTCTGATGAAGCTTGTTGACCAGTTAAGGCCACTGTAGCTGCTTAAGCAGATTTTTGCTTGCCAAATGTTTGCACACACCTACCCTTTCTTTATCAGTACTATTTTCCACATTTTATAATGATAACAATATCATCAAGACTGTGAAATAACATTTCATTTTGTGATAGTCGTTTATGAGTCCCTTGCTTGTCCTGAGAAGTTAAACTGTTGATGGTTCTTGAGTAAATCGGTTTCCAGTTCCTGCACATTCTTTGGTTTTTCAGTTTCTTTTGTAATTTGAACCCTATTCAACAGTGACTGTTTGAGTCTTAAAGGACCCAAACAACACTATTACAAAAGCTGAAAGGATTTGCAGATGCAACTCAATGCATTTAGAATATTTTCAACGGTTTGAAGGTCTAAATTTCAGTTTCAGTGCAGCTTCACAGGCTCAATACGATCCCAGCTGAGGAATAAGGGCCAAAAAAACATTTAGCACAAATGATCGTCTTGCATGTCCACGACTTCACGCATTGCATAATCACATTGAAAGGTCATGCGTCCGACATCATTGTTTTAAACCTTTTATTGTTTATTTTTGTAAATGGCGTTTGACTTAGTCTTTGCATGTTTGCTTTGTTAAAGGGATACTCCACTTTTTTTTGGAAATAGGTTTATTTAACTCCCCCAGAGTTAAACAGTTGAGTTTAACCATTTTGGAATCCATTCAGCCGATTTTCGGAAATTTCAAAGAACATCAGTAACCAGACAGTTTCTGGTCTCATTGACTTCCATAGTATATATTTTTTTCCTACTATGGAAGTCAATAATACCAGAGAAACTGTCTGGTTACTGATATTCTTCGAAATATCAGAAAATCGTCCGAATGCAATTGGAAAATGGTAAAAGTCAACTGTTTAACTCTGGGGGAGTTGTAAAATGAGCCTATTTTCAAAAAAAAGTGGAGTATCCCTTTAACACTAGGTCTGTACATCAAGCGTGACCTTTCAGGTCAAAAGTATATACATGTTTATTTATTTATTTTTTTTTTTTTAGAAAATGGCCGATGGTTTGGCTAGATAAGACTCTTATTCCTCAGCTGGATGTGAATATTTGGACCTTCAACCCTTTGAAGTCCACTATATGGAGAAATATCCTGGAATGTTTTCCCAAAAAAGCCTACTTTCTTTTTCGACTGAAGTAAGACAGACATAAATATCTTGGATGACATGGGGGTGAGTAAATTATCAGCAAAGTTTCATTCTGAAGTGAACTAATCCTTTAAAACAGCAACCATTTTCCTAGACAGCTCTACACATTCTGGGTATCTCAACCAACTTCATTAGATGCATTCTGGGATGTTTTTAAAACACTACTGAAGGGGTTAATATAGCAGTGTATGTATACGCCTTATTCACGGCAGCGCCATCTTTGATTTTTAATGAGAATGAAAGCGAGGCTGTGAGGGATAGTCATGCATCTCTTCAATGGGCTGTTACTGTTATTTAATGTGTTTTCGGATTGTTCTGCTCATGAAACACTGGAAAAATATCTTTCCAAGACATTTCAGTTGACAAAAAACTCCCGACAATGTAAGCTGTGGGAAATTGTAAGCAATCTAGGAGCTTTATTCCCCTTTTTACAGCGGATGCCATTGGAAACACGGTAAGTCTATTCCTCACAGCCTCACTTTCATACCTGTCATGGCGCTGCTCTGAATAAGGTCTCTGCTGGACATCTCCTGTCAAGCATATGTCAGATATTGTCAGATGAAACCATTTTAAAGGTCATAAGAAACTTCAAGAGAAAAGAAAGTTCATTCGAGTGTGTCCAGACTTTTGATTGCTAGATTATAGCGGAATACACTACTCAATTGAGCTATTTGGTGAGAATACAGTCTCCTCTTTCTAAAGCATTTAATTAAGAGAATTTGAGGGAGAGTAATAAAGATTTAGAGAATGTTACCCAGAAGCACGTATCCTCCCTCCTCAGTGAAGTATGTCCCTGGTTCAGAGGGGCCCTCATAGCAAGGTGTGACCCCAAAACTGCTGGAGGCCGAGGTGAGCCAGCGGCCATTCAGCTGGAGTCTCCGCATGCAGCCAGAAAAGCTAGACACAGACGTCTTCTACAAAAGTATGAGAAGAATGAGAACTTCAGAACCTTATACTTTTATAAAAGGTTTTTTAACAGTCATCATTACCATAAACTATAATGCAAAAGAGGCTGATCAGGACCCAACAATAATAACCAAAAAAAATCAATAAAAAGACATGAAATGTTGATTTGAGGGTTTTTTTATGACATGATAAGAAAGAATGTATTATGTGCTATAAGAGTTTGGGCAGCAGTCAAAGTATTGATTTAGCCGTCATTATATAAAAAAACGGTTTGACTGTAGAATGTTGCAATTGAACAGTTCCAATCAGTTATTCCAGAGAGCCATGTAAAAAGATGCATCATAGTAGTGGAAGAATTAGCAAAATTCTGTTTAAGATTCAGTATAGAATGTGACAACCTCCCAAATGTATTTATTGTCAACTACCATTCGAAGATCTCATTTTGAAATGTTCTCACTCAAAGCACTGCATGCTGCTTCTGATTCCTGGGAAAGCTGGAACGGCTGGTCTAGGATCAGTTTTATATTAGAATAATAATAGAGTATTGGCAATTTGATAAGCAGTACAGTTCATATGGGGTGATGATGGCGCAGTGGGTAAGACACATGGCTTTGGTATGAGAGACCCGGATTCGAATCCACTGTGAGACACCAATGTGTCCCAGAGCAAGACACTTAACCCCCGACCTCTGATATATATATAGCAATTGTAAGACGCTTTGGATAAAAGCGTCAGCTAAATGAAATAAATGTACATATCTGTGTTTGCGCTAAAAACAAACTGCTGTTTTCTAGGCAATAAATCAGTTTAGAATTTGAATAAATCTTTTCACTTACACGCTGCAAACTTTCAGGAGTGGCTTCCGCTTCATTCATGAATTTGAACAATTCATTCTCCTTTCCCCAAAGAAACTTTTCAAGCTTTCTTTTATACAACAACACACCCTGAGTTTTGGTTTATAATGTATATAGTTGAATATATATATTTTGTTAATAAAATAATTGTGTTCAGTTAATTTACTCAATGTTTCTGCTTAATAAATCGTAACTGAACTAGAGTCGCAGCACAGATCAGCAGCAGGAGTCAGATTTCATTCATCACGAGAGTGAGGAGCTGACTGACAAGATGATGTGCTATAGCAACACATTCTCATCCCAAAAAGTCATATAACTGACGTTTTGGGACGTCTTTTGACCATACGTCAATATCCGCCTTTTTAGGGCCCCCTTAAACGTCGGTAGATGGCGATCCCGGGTCGTCATACAACTGACGCTTTACCTTTAACGTCAGTTAGGTGACGGGTTAGGTTTAGGGTTAGGTTTAGGTCTGGGGTAGAGTTAGGATCCCATAACCTCATCTACCGACGTTTAAGGGGGCCCTAAAAAGGCGAATATTGACGTATGGTCAAAAGACGTCCCAAAACATCAGTTATATGACTTTTTGGGGTGAGACTGCGCTGGCTATAGTCGTAATATTTGGTGTAAAAGCGCCTATTTAACCAAATTTGTCATTGTACTGTTTTGTTGTTGTGTTTTCCATTAAGAATAATAGGCTATTGAACTCACAATTTAAGCAATCTGCCCCAAACTAGCTCTAATTTGAAAGTGAAAAATGCACGGGCACACATAACGGTGCGCGTCCGCGGTGAGGAGCGAGCAGAACAGTGCGAACGTTTATTCCTACTTCCATTGGAATTAATTGAATATGCTTGCTCTGCTCCGCACCATTATGAATGCCCATGCGGACGTGCGCGTTTTACTTTCGCTTTCAAATTAGCGATTGAAAAACACCCGCCAGTGATACTGGTATTACCAGTGTTGTCACATGTCAATTAATCGGTGGGAAAATATCCTCACCATCACATCCCTAGTCACTCACATCTGTCTTTTATTCCATTGATTTCTCTGTGTATTTAACCCCGTGCTTTTCAGTTGTTCCCGGCCAATCAGCAAACACTAATAGCACTTTTCCACTGCTGATACGGCTACGGTTCGGCTTGGTTCGGCTCGCTTCGCTTTTCCACAGTGTGCTACGACTCGGCTCGGCATGGCTCGGTTCTCTTTTCCACTGCAGTTAGTACCGCTTCAATGTGGGTGGGATTATATTTATTAAAGGAGAACTCCGGCGAACAATGAACCTTTGGTCTAATAAAACATCGGTACCTAGTCAATCGTTCTCTGAGATTTGTTTTCATGATAATCGAATGTAAAGAGTAACAACTGTTTAGCGTATAATGCTAGTACTGGGGGCATTTACATAAGCAGTGTTGGGAGTAACGCATTACAAAAGTAATACATTACAGTAACATATTACTTTTTGCTGTAACGCAGTAGTGTAAGGCATTACTAATCAATTTTCAGTAATATTTTACTCGTTACATGTTCAGTGAGGCTTGTATTACAGTTGTATTACTGCTTTTACTTCTTCAACAGACTATGTGAAAGTTTTAAAGCAGTCTTTTAGTGCCAGTTCAGAGCGGTCACGTCTGTAACATTGTTTTTTCCTCATAAATGCGAACACGAAAACTAAAATTAAATGAATATTTTAAGTTCTATGGAGACTAGAGAGCCGACCCTTCCTCATCCGATTTGCGCAGTGTAATTAACAGAATTACAAAAAATATATTTTGCCTCCTATTTTTTTTTTGTCACGCATGAATGTGTGTCTTTTCCCTAATATTAAAAATAAAACATAGACTGATATTTGTCTAATGCCTGGAGTCCTTTACGGAAGTAGCCTATACGTTTCAATACATGTATTTTCTGAGAATTTTTATTTCAAGTTTTGACTGCAAATGTCATGTCCATAATGCTGGACTTCCCCAATTTTAAATAATTTATCCTCAACTAGTTTTGTGGTGTAGGTCTACGTATTTTATAATGTTAACTTCAAATAATACTAATAGCCTAATTTAAAGATAAGGCAGCATTGGATCTGGACGGTAAGGAGAATAACGCTGGGAGTTGGAAGAGGTGTGTCGCGATTCTATAGGTTCGTGGATCTGAGTCGTGTGGCGAATCGCGATTTCGGTTTCATATTGCATATCGCTACAGCCCCAAAGTTAAGTTCTACTTAGTTATTTTGGTGAAAGTAACTCAAAAGTAATACATGAGTAATGTAACACATTACAATTCTGAGACAGTAATATTGTAAGGTAATGAATTACTTTTAAATAACAGTTTTTACAGTTTGGAAGTAACTTGCACAACACTGTACATAAGTAAAAGGAAATCGCTAGTTTATATCCCTAACAAGGCTCAAAATAGCCCCACACTAACACAGTAACATAATGAGGCTCCATACATGCAAAACGAAGCATTGAGAACTTTGTAAGTGTACAGACCGTTTAATAAGAAGATATTTTATGAAGACAGTTCACTTCGCGTATAGAGACTGGAGCCATCTTAGAAAATAGTCTTGATAAGTCAAACCACGAACGTCGTGCTGACTGATCTGAATGTATGAAGTTTAACGAACTTCTGAACTGTATGAACGGCGAACAGGATCGACTTATCGAGACTATTTCCTAAGATGGCCCCTGAATTGAACTGTCTTCATAAAGTATCTTCTTATTAAACGGTCTGAACACTTACCAACAGTGTTGGGAGTAACGCATTACAAAAGTAATACATTACAGTAACATATTACTTTTTGCTGTAACGCAGTAGTGTAAGGCATTACTAATCAATTTTCAGTAATATTTTACTCGTTACATGTTCAGTGAGGCTTGTATTAAAGTTGTATTACAGTGAGGCTTGTTCTATGTTCTATGGAGACTGGAGAGCCAACCCTTCCTCATCCGATTTGCGCAGTGTAATTAACAGAATTACAAAAAAATATAGTTTGCCTCCTATTTCTTTGTCACGCATGAATGTGTGTCTTTTCCCTAATATTAAAAATAAAACATAGACTGATATTTGTCTAATGTCTGGAGTCCTTTAAGGAAGTAGCCTATATACGTTTCAATACATGTATTTTCTGAGAATTTTTATTTCAAGTTTTGACTGCAAATGTCATCATGTCCATAATGCTGGACTTCCCCAATTTTAAATAATTTATCCTCAACTACGTATTTTATAATGTTAACTTCAAATAATACTAATAGCCTAATTTAAAGATAAGGCAGCATTGGATCTGGACAGTAAGGAGAATAACTCTGGGAGTTGGAAGAAGTGTGTCGCGATTCTGTAGGTTCGTGGATCTGAGTCGTGTGGCGAATCGCGATTTCATATTGCATATCATTAGAAGCCCCAAAGTTAAGTTCTACTTCTGTAGTTATTTTGGTGAAAGTAACTCAAAAGTAATACATGAGTAATGTAACGCATTACAATTCTGAGACAGTAATATTGTAAGGTAATGAATTACTTTTAAATAACAGTAACAAGTAATATCTAATGTATTACAGTTTGGAAGTAACTTGCACAACACTGCTTACCAAGTTCTCAATGCTTCGTTTTGCATGTATGGAGCCTCATTATGTTACTGTGTGAGTGTGGGGCTATTTTGAGCCTTGTTAGTGCTATAAACTAGCGATTTCTTTTTACTTAGTCAATGCCCCCATTACTATCATTATACGCTAAACAGTTTTTAGAGATAAAACTCTTTACATTCGATTATCATGAAAACAAATCTCAGAGAACGATTGACTAGGTACCGATATTTTATTAGACCAAAGGTTCATTGTTCGCCGGAGTTCTCCTTTAAGTCTGACCGTTAGAGTTTATCCGCTCCACGGCAACCAACGAGAGGAACGTCTGCACTTCGTCCACTGGCCACGATTCAGCCATTTCTTTTTTGAAAGTTTTCTTTCTTCTTTTTTCCTTCAAGCAAGTCAAAGTCATTTTTAAACAAGTTCTTCAGTGGTGGCTGTTACTGACTATTTAAATCTAGCGGGTTTGATGTCTCGCAAATGCAATGACGCTGACTGTGACTATTCTGTCTGACCAATCAGTGATCTGCAGTGTGTTCACGTCACATTTTAGTATCGGTACGGTACACTTGGAACCAGTGTTGTAGTCGAGACCACCTCACTCGAGTCCGAGTCGACACCGAAACCAGAGAGAGTCGAGTCCGAGTCAAGACCGAGTCCATAGAGAGTCGAGTCCGAGTCGAGTCCGAGACCAGAGATGGTCGAGTCCGAGTCAAGACCGAGTCCATAGAGAGTCGAGTCCGAGTCGAGTCCGAGACCAGAGACGGTCGAGTCCGAGTCGAGACCGAGACCAGTGAGGGTTGATTACCTCATTTACTTTTATTTACTTAGAGAAATCCTTTTTTTTTTTACTGAATTTACTTAGAGTTTAAAAAATATGATCAGTTTAGGGTAAAAAGGCCACATAGTAGGTGATGTTAAAAGTAATTTTATTACAATTTGTCATGCGCAGTTGCGCACTAGAAAATCACCAATCACTGGGCGTGTCAATCAATTTAAAGAAATATTTTATTAACATACATTAATAATCATGAAAAATATTTTTAATTGAACTCGAGTGGACTCGGGAATAATTCCGAGTCATAAAAAAAAAATGTTCGAGTACGAGTCAATTCCGAGTCCAATTGGACACGAGTCCATGACAAGACCAACACCATTAAAATATGGTCTCGAGACCGAGTCCGAGACGAGTCCGAGTCTCGAGTACTACAACACTGCTTGGAACCTCAACAGAGGTGGCCATTTAAAGCGAGCCCGAAGCGTGCCGTACCGTAGGCTACCATGCAGTGGAAAAGCGCCACAAGGGAGCCGTACCGAGCTGAGCCATACTGTACCATGCAGTGGAAAAGCACCAAAGTGTGCCGTACCGAACCATACCATACCATACCATGCAGTGAGAAAGCGCCATAACTTTATTGGTAGTTCCTATAGCGCTGGTTTAGACCCGACTCTGAAGTAAGAGCTAAATTAGTTCCCCCAAAAGGAGTTCCAAGAACTAAAATCATTTATAGTTCCTTTGGTGCGAACACGGCAAAATTCGGGTACTTCCGCCAAGAGTTCTGGGAACTATGAAAAGGTTCCTCTGGTGCAAAAGACCCTAATGAGGGATCACAATACCTGAATGTTTTTAATCGCCTGATCAGGTGGCACACCGCCGACATACAGAGGATCCTGGACAACAAGCATTGAGATGTTTCCGCCCGAAGCTCTGTCCTCTAATACCGTAAGACCGTCAATCATCAGTCTGCCCATATTTCCACTTCTGATGAAGATAATCTACACAAAGAGAGAGAGAAAGAGACAAGGTGTCACATAAAAGGTGTATTAGAGACACTCTTATAATAGCCAAACTATTAAATAATTACAATTAATTTTACTTTCAAGACTGACAAATAAAACAACTGAAGTGAACATCTCAGCATTGGAAGGTGATCATTATCTATTCTGTTTATCACTATCTATTAGCGATTACATTTAGTGTAGCTAATGCCGCAGAAATGGCACGTGTTATGAACTTTAGTCATCCTTACATCATGCCACTGTCCGTCACTGTACTTCTCTTTGGATCGGACTCTGACTTGGTCTTTCCCTGAACTGAATGTGAATACCAGTCTTCCATGTGTGAGGAACAGAGCCATGAAGTTCTCCTCAGACTCGTCAGCCATGTAGAAGATGAGACCGAATGCTGATTGAGTTTTCAGAGATAGAGAAAAGTGAGATCTAAAAAAAAAAAGAGATGGAAGAACAGAAAGCTCGGTTATGTATCACTACATTTACCAATGCAATCCTTGTGCAGGATCAAACTTATGAAAAATGTGGGAATTTGCTAAGAATGATTGCGTCATTTGCATGCTTTGATGTTATTGCTCCACTGCTCTTTACGGATCTGAATGCTGAAAGTACACTCAACTTCATTATTCATTATTCATACATTCATTAGACATTATTCAATATCACTTGATAAATAACTGCTGATATGATCTAAAGACAACGTATGGCAGACAAACAGTGCTGAGGTTTGTGAATAAGGCACATTTTATAATATGACGAATTTATGTAGCTATAAGAATGGCATACTATCATATTACTGTTTCTGCAATATATATATATATATATATATATATATATATATGGTAAAAATATTAGGTAGGTGTTAGTAGGTGTTTTAGCATACTCTTCAAAACACCATCAGGGACACTATCAAGGCTAACTAACTGTAGTGGAATAATAGGGTAATATTATGGATATACACTGTTAGACCTTACCAGGTTTATTACAGTAAAATACTGGCAACAGGCCAAATTCTGACACTATCATACCATTTTCCATTAAAACAGTTATATACCGTAGAAAACAAAACTAGCCTACAGGAATATACTGTGAATTAACAGCTCTCAAAGTCAACACTCAGAGACTGTGTTCCTAATCACACCCTATACCCTCATTCACTGTCTATTCCCTACATTAGTTCACTAATATAGTCCACTTGAATGAAAAGAAGTGAGTGAATTGAGACACTGATGAACACCTGATAAACAGAATCACTGAAGCACAGAGAAACAAGAACTGAGAAAGAGAAACACAAGATCTACAACTGACTTCCAGCAACACTGAGTGTGAAAACAGTTTACAAACCAGTTTAACATTATTTATTTCATACATGTACAAAAGTTCTTGTTGAGAATTAACAGAGATTTAATTAATAATAAAGTTTTTTGTCACCATAATGGAGATCAGTATTTGCTTTAGTAGGTCTCTTATCCCTGGACTTGTGACATTTATCTCTCTCTGACTGCTGTAACAGTGAGTTTTAAAACACATTTGTTGTAGCAAGAAAAAGTCAAGAGGAAATTGATCTGGTGTTATTGGCTTTTGTGATGATGTCATGATCATTCTGGATATGTCTGATTTTCAGATCTTTCCGGTTTATACTCTTAGAATAAATGGGTACTTAATATGAAACTTACTTTAAGTTATGATTATAAAATAAATCTGAGAATCTACAACATGAAATCAATATGTTGGTTAATCATGTCTTCTAAATACTATTGTAATCACATAAAACATTTAAATAATATCCTGTTAAAGTCAGACACACACAGACATCAACAATTATAATATTCATCTCAACAACGGTAACATTCAAAAGTTTCATGCAGCAGTGCATGCTGGGTTCCAGGATTGTATAAAACTCCCAGCATGCACTGCTGCATGAATAAAAAAGAAATTGCCACCATTACTGAGATTAATGTGCTAAATTTTGATATATTGGTGTTTCAACAACACTGTAGCGATGTTTTGGTTTATGTATGATATGTTAAAAACAAATAGTCGTAATTAATTGCTGTGGTTTCACGGTGGTGGTAATGTAACACTTTTGGTTGAGACTGAAACTCTGAATGAGTGAAAATGAATTATTTAGTAAATGAACAGACCATATGATGATTGTCATATTTTGACAAATCAAATCATTACTAAACTGTATATCTGCACAAGTGTGACTTGCACAAAACACAGCTCACAGCGTCTAAAGAAAATCTCATATTACAGCGTCAGCAGACCAACTAAAGCAAACACTGATCTCTATGATGGTAACTTCAAGCCAAACATTTTTAAACATCTCAACAACATCTTCTATAGATGTATGACAGAAATAAAGCCATACTGGTTAATAATAAGTGTAATAATGTGTAATGGCTGAAGTCAGTTGTAGTTCTTGTGTTTCTCTATTTTCTGTTCTTGATGTTCCTCTTTCCTTCAGTGATTCTGCTTGTTAACAGCAGGTGTTCATCACTAATGCTCAACAATCACTTACATATTCCCTTAATTATCTCACTGCAACACTGCATCAATGTTAATTTTTACTCTTTGTAGTGTGGATTTTCCTGTGGGGTTGAAAGGGTTAACAGTGTAAGATAAAAATACACTCCCACAAAATGTATTTTAACAGTAATAAACTGTAAGTTATAAAACGTCTCGGTTACGTATGTAACCCTCGTTCCCTGAGTAGGGAACGGAGACGTTACGTCAGAAGTGACGGAGATTGGGGGTTTCGCATAGAAAGCCAATCCTCTTCGAGTATTTAAACACGAGCCAATGGCATGCAATGCCTTGGGGCTGCGGAATTTTGCATAGCGTACTCCGCCCTACTCCGTGAGTATAAAAGGAGGAAGTGAACGCAACCGCAGTATGTCTTCGCTGAGGAGCCAAGACTGAACTCGGCGTCTACCCAGCGATACAGCAGAAGTGGCAGGGAGACGTAACGTCTCCGTTCCCTACTCAGGGAACGAGGGTTACATACGTAACCGAGACGTTCCCTTCCGTAGTCACTTCGAGTTACGTCAGAAGTGACGGAGATTGGGGGTCAGTGCCATCACGCCATCTTCAAGCTGTCTTCCAGTGCCCTGCGAAAGTCTGGACCCCCGAGCCTTTTACCTCTTTTTTTTTTTTTTTTTTGGGGATCCGACTTTGACACAGGATTACCAAGGTACACTGGGAAACATATCCCGGAAGGGACATGCTACTAGCTGCCTACCGAAGGGAGGACTTACGAACACATATGGCCACATAGGAACACATATGGAACACTGGAGTACCAACCGCAGGTGGCTACTAATTTCAACTCCAGGGGTGGCAGATGGCTTGCCAAGGGAAGACACATGCTCAGAGAGGCTTACAGTGGATAATACACATGAGACGGTTACCAAGGGGAACCGTGCGCATGGAGGCACCTAGCCAGCATCCAGAGCAACAGCAGTGGTGCCCGCATCGTCGGTGCTGGAGGACTCAAGACTTCAATGGAAGAACTGAGGAAATATCGCACTTATCCAGTCCGGGGAGTGGAGTGGCGAGCAAGCGAAGACACCTGAGCGGATCCAGAACTGGCCGAAACGAGTACGTGAGAGGATACCGGCTCAATTCGCAGATTATAGAATCTGGCGAAGGTGTTGGGTGTCGCCCAGCCTGCAGCTCTGCAGATGTCTGTTAGCGAGGCGCCGTGCGCTAAAGCCCAAGAGGAGGCTACACTCCGAGTGGAATGGGCCGTCACACCAAGGGGGCACGGAAGGCCTTGCTGCTGGTAAGACAAAGCAATGGCATCCACTATCCAGTGGGACAGCCGTTGCTTTGAGAGAGCCCTTCCCTTCTGGCTCCCCCCATGACAGACAAAGAGCTGGTCTGAGGTCCTGAAACACTGCGTTCTGTCGACATAGGTGCGGAGAGCACGTACCGGACAGAGCAGTGCCAAGGCTGGGTCTGCCTCCTCCAGGGGCAGCGCTTGCAGGTTCACCACCAGGTCCCGGAGGGGAGTGGTAGGAACCTTGGGCATATATCCAGGCCGGGGTCTCAGGAATACGTGAGAGTAAGCCGGCCCGAACTCCAGGCACACTTCGTCAACAGAGAGTGCGTGCAGGTCCCTTACTCTCCTGATGGATACCAATGCAATCAGGAGTGCTGTCACATAGGACAGCAAAAACTCTACCGACTGCAAAGGCTCCAGGGGAGGCCTCTGCAGAGCACCCAGGTCTACTGAGAGGTCCCCAGAGGGCAGGAGGGGAGGGAGGCGGATTTAGCCCCCTCACTCCCCTCAGGAACCTGATGACCAGGTCATGCTTCCCATAGACTTACCTTTCACTGCATCATGAGACGCGGCAATGGCCGCGACATAAATCCAAAGGGTGGAGGGCGACAGCCTGCGCTCCAACCCCTCTTGCAGGAAGGAAGCATGACTCCGATCGAACATCTCCGGGGGTCTTCTCAGCGAGAAGAACACCAATTGACGAAGAGGTTTCACTTCAACGCATAAAGGTGTCACGTGGACGACGCTCTTGCGGAAGTGATGGTTGCCGCCACCGCAGGTGGCAGCGAACTCAAACCTGCCTCGTCCCGTCCTGGAGCCACACGTGCAGCCTCCAAGATCGGGACGAGGGTGCCACAGAGTGCCCCGTCTCTGAGAGAGTAGGTCCGGTCTCAGAGGAATAGGCCAAGGAGGTGCTGTCGCGAGGAGCAAGAGTTCGGAGAACCACGTCTCGGTGGGCCAGTAGGGGGCTACCAGCAAGACCTGCTCCTCGTCCTCCTTGATCTTGCACAACACCCGTGCAAGGAGGCTCACTGGGGGAACGCACACTTGCGTGGGCCCCGTGGCCAGCTGTGCGCCAGCACATCCGAGCCGAGAGAGCCGCGGGTCAGAGAATAAACTGGGCGCAGTGGGACGAGTCCCGAGAGGCGAACAGGTCTAACTGTGCCTCCCCGAACTGGTCCCAAATCAGCTGGACCGACTGGGGATGGAGTCGCCATTCGCCGGAGATGGGACGGGCCCGGGACAGCTCGTCGGCTGCCCGGTTCCGGTCTCCAGGAATGTAACTGCACGAAGGGACCTCAGGTGCTTCTGACTCCATATCAAGAGGTGGCGGGCGAGCTGCGACAACCGGCGCGAGCGTAGACCCCCCCTGGTGGTTGATGTACGCTACTGCCGTAGTGTTGTCTGAGCGGACAAGCACATGCTGGCCCTAGAGCACGCTCGGAAGCGGTGCCGGGCGAGCCGTACTGCCAACAGCTCGAGGCAATTGATGTGCATGAGGCGCTGGGCTCCTGTCCAGGAACCGGCGGCTGCATGCCCATTGCACATGGCACCCCAACCCGTGGTAGACGCATCCGTGGAGACAACGAGATGCCTGGAAACTCGCTGAATAGGGACCCTGTCCGTAAAAAGCTGAGGTTCG